GAGGGTCATCTGGGTGACGGGGCGCTCGTCTGAGCCACCACAGGTGCCAGGTGGGGCCACATTGCAGCTTCAGTCACGGGTCTCCCGCTGAGGTCCTGTGGTGTGGGACCTATGTCACGTCCCCCAGGCACGAGGATGGTGTCCCATGCTGCCCAAACCTGGGACTTTGCGTATCCAGCCCAGCGCACCGACCCCCCCAGGCGGTCCCTCCAAACTCTGGGCCTTTGGTTGAGCTGCATCTGCCTCCAAGGGGAGACTCCGACCCTAACAGCCGGTCATTAACATCTCCATGCGGTTCAGCTGTTTGAGATGCTAAAGGTCTGGGCGTGCCGCTGCCTCCGGTTTGGGCGCGGCAGGTCCGCTGGTCACCTGAGCACCGCCATGAGCACCGCCACCAAGGTGGAGCGAGGCAGTCACCCTACTTTCCTGGGAGTCACTAGCGGGTGGGGATCCGGACGGGGCCAGCCGGTCAGTTCTCCATGCCGTGCTCTGGGACCCTCATGAGCCCGTGGAGGTGCGTTTCCCGACCGACCAGAACACCCTGGGTCTGCTCTGGAGCTCACGCGCTGCTGGGAGTGGACCCCACCGCACCCTAGGGTCATGGCCCCATGTCACCAAGGCTGGGGGACAAGTGGGGATATGGGAATAAGGGGTCCTGTGTCTGGGGGTGACGAGGACCTGATGGGGAGCCTGGGTGAGGCAAAGCCCAGGCTCCAGAGGGACCCCAACTACACCAGACCACCGGTGGCACGGGGCCCTGAGCACCGCCTGCCCAGCACAGAGGATCCTGGGGTCCTACCCCCTGCATCAGGGGCCAACCCCCTGAGCTGGTCGCACCCCCAAATAGGGCCAAATGGTTGCGTGTGTGGAGACAGAAGCAGCCGCGAGGCGGCAGTGCAGGCTTGCACATCACCGCCGACGTGGTCGCGGCCGGGGTCCACCCACGCGGCGTCCCGGGTCCGCCCGGGCCAGATACCGCAATGGTCCACGAGGGTCATCAGGGAGACGGGACACTCGTCCGAGCCACCCCGGTTCACCCCATCTGAGTCGCCCCGGGCTGCACCGTTGTAGTTGGGAGAGGAGAGGGACTGCTCAGGGCAATGAGGTGTCCCTGTGCCTGGGGTGACGCGGAGTCGCCTTCAGAGGGAGAGCCTTCCTACGGGGCCTCTGGCAGACCAGGGTGCTGGGCGCTGCCTTGCCGAGCGCAGGAGGATTTCGGGGGTCTTCGCTGTCTTGGGCCGACCCCGCAGTCCTGTCACACACCCCGAACTGTGCCGAGTGGTTGCTGGAGTGGTGACAGAAGCGGCCGCGAGGCGGCAGTGCAGGCTCACACGTCACCGGCCGTGGCAGCCGTGGCCGGCATCTGCTTATGGCCACATCTGGGGGTCTGCCCCATCCTAGCTTGGGAGTCTACCCATGGCAAAGTCTGGGGTTTTCCCATGTAAACCTGGGGGGTCACCCGTGGCAAAGGCTGGAGTTTTCCCACCATAAATCTGGGGGTTCACGCATGACAAAACCTGGAGTTTTCCCACCATAAATCTGGGGGTCCACCAATGACAAAGCCTGGAGTTTTCCCACTGTAAATCTGGGGGGCCACCCATGACAGAGGCTGGGATAGTCCCACGAAAATCTGGGGGTCCACCCATAAAGTCTGGAGTTTTCCCATGTAAATCTAGGGGTTCATCCATGGCAAAGGCTGGAGTTTTCCCACTGTAAATTTGGGGGTCCACCCATGGCAAAGGCTGGGTGTCGGGTGTGGCGCGGGTCCACAGGAGCAGGCTCTTCCCAAGGCCCTGTCTGAGGTGCAGTCAGAGCTGGAGAGCTCTGGGTCCCTTGCTTAGGCATGTCTCCTCCCCCCACCCATGGCACCAGCACCCTAGACTTGGAGGCTGATCCCTATGGAGGGCCGGGCCCCAACACCCCCTATGAGGCCACCGTGGTTGCCCCAGGGACAGGGTGGCCCAGGGTGGCTGGGGGAGACTCGAGGCTCTCTGGTCTCTGTCCCAATTCTGAATGCGCAGGCGATGTCCTGGGCAGCGGTGCACAGGGTGGCCACGGCAGGGCTGGGAGGTTGCCGGGCTCATCACCAGGGCGCGCCCGCGAGCCGTGGAGCACAGCGGGCGTGCCGCCTCCTGACAATGGATCGTGGCGGTGAGGGGACGGGGCGCCCGGCCACAGTGGGGAGCCCGCGCGTGGAAGCCACTGTGCTCGCGATGGGCACCATCAACTAGACGACACTCGAGCAGGGAATCAGCGCCTGCCTGGCCCGCGAGACCACGGTCCCTTCCCTCGGCCCGACCTGAGCCCCAACCCCCCACACCCCTCACGACCGCTCCATGGACTCCGGGCTCACGGCGTGGTCTCAGCCGCGGTGGTGGCAGAAGGCGACTCCGAGTCCCACTGGAGCGCCTGGCGGCCCCGGCCAAGACCTCCGTCCAGGGGCAGAGTATGCGCCCAGTGGGGGCTGGGTGGGGAGCAGCCTGCAAGGTCCGCCCTGAGGGGACATGACTGTTTTGACCTCGGAGTGGGGGAGGGACATTTGGGGACAATGCCAGACCCTGTCTACAGGATGCCAAAGGAGGGGTGTGGAGAAGGCCCTCTTTGGAGAATTCCAGGACAGGAGAGGAATGTGCGCTGGACCGACCCGGGCGGAGGTGGGCCTTGCGGTGGCCCCAAGCACGGTCCCCGCTCTGATTGGCTGGCAGAGCAGGGGCGGGAATTCTGGGCGGGGCCACCCCAGTTAGAAAAAGCCCGGGCTAGGGCCCGAGGAGCAGGGTGTGGGAGGGGGGTGGTGGGAGGGATGGGGGGGCTCAGGGGAAACTGGGGAAGTGGGGGAACTGAGGGGTAACCAGGGAAGCGTGGGGTACCGGGGGCAACCAGGGGAAGATGGGGAAGTGGGGTGCAGGGAAGCATGCGTGGGCCAAGGATCACCTTGGACGTCTGGAGCCTGGCAGGAGCGGAGCAGGGTGGCGGGGCTGGCTTGGGCAGGGCTGGCGGGCACCTGGGAGCCTGGCGGGGATGCGGGGCGGGCTCCCAGGTGCCCCGCAGGCAGGACGACATCGGTGTGGGGAGTGACAGGCCCAAGCTGGCGGTGCAGAAGTAAGAGGGGGGAGCCAGGCATTCATCCCGGTCAATTTTGGTTTCAGGTCGTGGCAGCTGGTGGACGGGGGAGCTGGAGAGAGGCTTGCCCCAGGGCCTGGGCGGTGGAGGTGTAGCTGGCAGCCGTGGGCAGGTGAAGACAGCGCTCTGCCGGGCCAGGTGAGTCCCCTTCCCCTCCCTGGGCCTTGCTCCGCTGGCCTTCTGCATAAGGAGGTCTGGGGAGCCAGGGCCAACGAGGCGAAGTGGCTGACATCCCGGCAGAGCGGCAGGGTGACGGCAGGGCAGGCAGCACAGGTGACACCGTCTCAGGGGGAGCTGAGGCAGGGCGGGCTGGGAGCTGCGGCTGTCCCAGGTGGAAAGGGCATTTCCAGAGAGTCGGGCGGCAGATGGGGCAGGGCTGCCAGCGAGGGAGATGATCCAGCACATGGGGGCCGTTCAGGCCCCGGGGCAGACAGGACGAGGCGGGGGACTCAGGTCAGTGGGCCGCCAGCTGCCACTTCACCCACTGCAGTTCATTTAGTAGCAGGTACAGGGGCGGCTCTGGCCCAGGCCTCCTGAGGCCTGAGCCGGAGCCTCGAGGGCCGGAGAACGGGCTAGAAGGCAGGCGCAGTGTGCGGGGAACCGCCGTAGGACGTCACCTGGGGGGAGCGGTGGCCACAGCGACAGGGCCCCAGGGAGATTTCTGCAGCAAGGAGGCTGCCGCGGGCCCAGCGGGCCACCATCCCCATGCGGCACTGCGGCCCAGGGGCTGGCGCAGGAGGGCCCCCAGTGAACTTGGTGACACTGGTGACACTTGGCCCTTACCGCCCGCCCCTGGGACTGGCACGGCAGACAGGACAGCACCCAGGGGAGTCAAGGACACCGGCGAGACCAGACTAGGCGAGGGAGGCGGGGCGGCGTGAATGAGAGCTCTGGGGGGCGGGAGGTCGGGGCGCAGGCAGGGGCAAGGAGCTGGAGCCTGGCAGCGAGCCGGGGGTCACTGGCCTCCGAGCCCATGGCCAAGGCGGGCCTCTGCGGGCGGTGACGGAGCAGGGATCAGTCCGCGCTCAGACCGGAGACGAGGGTGAGTGTCCAGCCCGCTGCCCTCCCACCCCCGCAGCCACTGCTGCCCACTCAGCCAGCGCCTTCTCTGTCTGCCCACAGCCTTGTCTCCAGTGGGTGTGGACGTGCCTGCCAGCCACGGAGGCCGGGCGCCGGGATGCGGGCAGAGGGACATGACATGGTCCGGCGTGACGGCGAGGACAGACGGGACGCTGTCCGGCCTCCCTGGTGAGCACAGGTACAGGCCAGGCCCCCCGGGCCAACTGACCCGCACCCAGCCCTTATGGCCGTCCTCTTTCCCGTAGAACATTCTCGGCTGGCCCCGCGGGGGAGCTGGAACACCCCGCATGTCTGTTCCTTTACCTTCCTGAAGGAGCCAATACACTACTGCTGCTCTCTGGACCCCAGAACCCTCAAGATGACAAGGTGGGGGGTCCCCTGCCACACACGGGGGGCGGGGGCGGGGGGCTCGGGGCCGAGAGCTGGGCACTCATTCTGTCCTGACCCACAGAAATGGTGCTACCCAGCTCACGCCTGGGCCTTGGAACCCGGACTTCTTCAAGTCTTTCTAGCTCTGACTGAGAATATGCTGCATCTGGAACCACTACACACCCTGACTCAGGAACCAGCTCTGGAAGGTGGGCGCGGGCACCCCTCCCGAAGCCCCCTGGCCGGACCGCCCTGACCCGCCCTCACGTCCTGCCTCTGTCCGCAGGTTAAGCTAAAGGAACAGACGACCCACACCATCGGAGGAGCAGCACACCCACCCCCGCCCGGCGACTCCATCTTTGAGGCGACGCCCTGCCGCGCCCAGAGACCACCAGCAGCCTCCCTCCCTCCCCTTCATTCTTTCCTCTGTCTTTTTTCTTCTCTTCTCTCCTCTGTCTTTTGCTCAGAAGACTCAGAGCGTCCAGAACCCTGTCTCCCCGTCCCTCCTGAATTAATTTGCACTAAGTCGTTTGCACTGGTTTGGGGTTCTGGAGCAAGCCTGGGTCTCTCAGCGAGTGAGTGAGCTGCTGAGTGGCCCGGCCTCCTCGGCCTGCGCCCCCCCCAGCGCCCACCTCTCATCCATCTCTGTCTGGGGGCGACTGGGAGGGGGCCCGAGTGTGTGGGGCCCCGCCCTCCCCTCACCTAGTCTGGGCGCTCCAAACATCGGAGCAACCTCGAAGCATTCCATTGTGTGTCTATCTCGCTCTGTGTCCCTCCCTGCCAGGGCCTCCCCAGAAGCCCTGGACTCATCAATAAACACAGTTACAGGAATTGGTCTCAGGGACTCTGGATTTGAGCTGTTTGCCTGAGGGGGTTGCGCCGTGGGCTGGGGGGACATGGGGCTGGGGTGGGGCCTGGGATGGGGAACATGAAAAGGCATATGGGCCACGAGGGCCGGACACAAAGGGTGGCGTGGCGGGTAATGGATGGGAAGGGGCGATGGGTGGGGGGCTGTGGACTGGAGGGGTGGGCAATGAAAGGGCCTGTGAGGTGGGACGGCAGAGGGCACAGGGACTTCCGGGCATAGGGCAGGCACCACGTGGGGACCGGGGCAGGGGTGGCGGGCTGTGGGACCCAGGGCTTCCCTGCAGGGAGACGTCGGGTCCGAGGGCGAGGAAGAGGTCCTGCCACATAATGCCCCTGTTGCACACACATCACCCAGGCCTCCCTAGGCCCCTGCCCCGGACCCCAAAGGCCTGGTCTAGGGGATCGGTTTCTAGAATTATCCTAGGGGAGTGGTCTTGACATGCGGCCCAGGCCGGCCACGCCCCTGGGAAGTCCACCGCCCTGCCACACTCATCCACAGCCCTGCAGGCCCTGTGCGCTGGGCTTGGGGCACAGAGGCGTCCCCTCCCTTCACTCTGCCGTGGTGGAGCGGGGGGGCGCAGGGGGGCAACAAGCAGGGGCGCTGTGGGGCGAGCTCTCACTAGGCAGGCGACAGCGGGGAGGGAGTAGAGAGGGGTGGGGGCAGAGGGGAGAGGGGCCCCACGGCCGGGATGGGGATCTTGCCGCTGAAAGGCCCAGGGCCGTGTCCCGCTGGTGTCTGGCCTGGGGTTTGCGCCCGGGGTGCGAGTGCAGCCCCCGCCTGTGTTCGTGGCTGGTGTCCGGGTACAAGGCAACAGCTGGCCGGTGACGCCCCTCTGCCTCTAACCACCCCCAACCAGGCCTCCCAGCTCCTGGGCGCCAGGCGCGGCACGCTGGGAACCCGAGGGAGAAGCCCTTGGAAACAGGGCTGGGTCCCTGACCCCTTCCCGTGCTCGGGGCAGTCAGGAAATGCCTTGCGGGCCAGCTGACCGAGAGGAGATAGCAAAGGCCTGGGAGACCCCGAGCACATGCCTTTCCCAGCGTCCGGGCTGCGGGGCCCTTGACTGCTCTGGCTCTGGCCCCACGAGCTCCCCCCCGTGCACTCCCCATGTGTTCCATGCGTCTGGTCTCCTCTCTGGGGCCCACCTCCTGCCTGATGGGAGACATGGGAATTCCAGGGCTAAGAAGGGCCGGTTCCAGGCCAGCAGGGCAGGTGGTCAGCAGGGCTGCATTTATATGAAGGCATTTAATGAAGGCTAGTCCGTGGCATCCTTGGGGGCTCCCCAGTGCCTCCTGCCCCCCACCCCTGGGAGGCTTTCACAGGCCCGCGGGCAGCTCATGGGTGAGGCTGCCTCCACCTCCAGGCCCACGGCCCCCTGGACTCGCCCACATGGGTTTTGCCAGCAGGACAAAGAAACCCATCCTTCAGGCGTCATGAGTTAGAACTCCCCACGGCCTTTTTCACAAGCCCCCGTCTCTCCTGGAGCTTTGCAAAGCTGGGCCTCAGAAGATGAAAGCCCAGCTTCCCAGGGGATGGCGGTCGTGTGGTGGGCACTGCAGGTGGCCGGAGGGGCCCCGAGGGCAACCTGGCCGTGGGTGGGAGGAGAGACACAGGCACTCTGGAAACCTCTTCCGGGCATAGGGAGGACTCTGTCCACTTCCAGGGCGGCGGGGTTGCCGAAGGCAGTGGGGCCAGGGCCTCGGGGGCTGTAGCCCCTCCTGGTCATACCCGCACTCCTGCTCTGGGCTTCCACCTGGAAACCCGAGGTCGACCTGGGGAAGGGGGTGCTTCTGGATTGGCATTAGGCCAGGGTAGGGGCTCCTCGCCACATCCACCTGGGGAAGGTGTCCGAGGCCCTCGGGCCCCTGCCTGACGCGGGCTGTGCCCATCCACCTGCCCCTCCGCGTGCGCACGGCAGCTTCCACCCTGGGTGTGCCCGCCTGCTCTGTTTCCAGGGCTGGTTCCCTGGGCAGCAACCAGGAGGGGACCCACCTGGAGGGCTCTGGGTGGGTGTGGGCAGCCTGTGGGGAGGGAGGGGGTGGGCCCAGAGCCCTGGCCCAGGTTGTGAGCCCTGCCCGGGCTGGGAAGACAGGCAGCCAGCGCCCACGGCAGAGCCCCTCTGTGGAGCTGGGGACCCCAGGCTGGCATGTGTTTACCTTTGGCCCAGCCCGACTTCCTGCTTTGAGAGAAGGGGCCCAGAGGGGGCTGTAAGGCAGGCCCAGGCCCCCCACCCAAAGGCGCTTTCAAAACGCCCCTGCGCTGAGTTAAGTGTCACCAAGCAAACAGGGGCTTGAATTTCACTCCCAGCCCCAGTGGTGGCCGGGGTGGGGCGGTCACCTCCAGGGTCTTCACACCTGGACCCTCCCCCAGCCGCGCTGCTCCGGAGGCTTTAGGCTAGCAACCACCAAACCTCTGGCCTACGGAACACAGGACTTCACGTGTCTGTGTGGCCACGCATCTACGTCCGTGTGTGTGGGACTGTCTGTGCCCACACGTGTGCTCGTGTCTCCATGTGTCTGTGTGTCCACACGTGTGTCCACACGTGTCTCCGTGTACCTGTGTGTCGTGTATCTATGTGTCCACACGTGTGTCCGTGTGTGTGTGTGTGTGTGTGTGTGTGTGTGTGTGTGTGTCTCAGAGCGTCCCCGTGAACCTGTGTGCAGTGGTCAGTCGTCCGGCTGTGTGCTCTCAGGCCGTGTAGGCCTGACCGGCTGCGTCTCCCGGGCTTGTGTCCGCAGGTGTGTGGCTACAGCTGGGAGTGAGAATGTCCGCTCAGGGTCACTAACCCTGCTGGCCGTGCTAAAGGCGTGGATGGGGGCCCTGTTCTGTTTGGGGGTGCTCTGTGGGGACTGCTGGCTTTTGCGTGGCCCTGGTTGCATGTGTGAGTTCGATCTGGGCCCGGATTTAATGACCTTGTGGCCCACCTTCAGGCAGGGACTGTGGACGGTGGGGTGGGGTAGGGTCCGGCCCTCCCTGTAGCCCTGAATGGAGACAGAAAAAACTCCAACAGGACAAAGGAAATGATGTCCCTTAACCAGGCCCAGTGTGATGTTTGGGGTCAGCAGACATGCCCCCTGGGGAGTCTCAGTAAACAGGGCCGGGCCTGCCAGGGGGCCCCTCGCCCCACCTCAGGCTCCGGGCGGCACCGAGCGTAGGACGCAGTGGGCAGGGGCCTGGGCTGGCGGCTCTCGGGGCGATGCTGATGGGGGAGGGGGGCCCAGGAGGCTGGGCTGCTGCTGGGGGCCGGGACCCCATCCCCGGCCTGGGCTGGGAACCCTTTCCTTCGTCTCCCTCTTGTGTTTGGGGTCTCCCTGGGTGTTGTAGCAACAAGCCCCCGAGCCAGGGGCCCCAGTAGAGATTGTGTGACCCCCCCCCCAAAAGGGCAAACGGAAGGTTCTAGAAGGAGCGTGGCCAGGTTGGGCCTCTCCTAAGGCTGTGGTGACCACACTGGGCCACGGCCCAGGCCACCGCGCCCACCTCCTCCCCCTGCACCCTCCCTTCTCCGCACCTCTCCCCGCCTGCACCTGGTGACACGGCTGGCCCTTGGCCAGGGCTGAGGGGGACCAGCGGGCCCCTTCCTGGAAGCCCACCTGCAGGCCGGCTTGCTGGGAAGGGGCCGCTCCTCGGCGGCCCCCGCCCGAGCCGTTTCCTGGAAGCGGTCACTGTGGGTATTCTGTTCCTTGTCAGCAGCGTGTTGCATGAAGCAGACACTGCTCTCCTTGTCCTCTGGGAGCCCGCGCTCCAGCACCGAACACCTGGCCGGACACAGGCGGGCAGCCTGGGCTGTGGGGAGCCGCACGGGCCTGGGGCCGGACCAGCAAACCATCAGGGCGCCAAGCGCGGGGCCCGGCCCACTACTGCCCCACGCTGCCACGTGCCCGGGCCTGGTGGGGCCCGTCCTGGGGGCCGGGAGGCCGCGGCGGGCGCGGAGCTGGGAAGGGGGTAGGGGCGCCGGGGTCGGCAGGCCACGGGTTCCCACGCTCTGCAGAGAGCCATCAGCACGCATGGGAGGCTGGCTGGAGAGCCCGAGGGGGCGGGGGAGCGGGGTCAGGAAGTAGGGCAGGAGCGGTCACCCCGAGCCGGGTAGGAAGAGGCCCCCGGAGGGCGGGGGAGGAAGGGAAGGACGCCGAGATGGGAGGAACGTGCCCTGGGACAAGGAGTAGGAGGAGGGGGATGGTTGGGATGCCAGGAACAGGACGGCCACCAGCACTGGCGGGGAACTTGGGGACCCTGAGTCGCCGGGGGGCCGGTCCCAGGCCTGGGCGAGCTATGTGCCAGGGGGCTCCTGGCAGCGTGCGGGCCACTGGGAGCCCTTGGAATGCCGGGAGGCCTGGGCAGGGCTGCAGGACAGGGCTCGAGACACAGGTGGGGGAGCGCAGATGCTCCCAAGGGATAGCGTAGGGTGCGGCGTCGGGTGTAGGGTGCAGCCTCGGGAACCCATGACCGCCAGGGGGCCCCCAGAAGATGGAGTAGTGGTCGACGGGGTTAAGGGGTGCTGGGGGACAGGGCCCTGGGGCCGCATATCTGAGGAGAACTCAGGTCCAGGGCACAGGCCTCCCCCCCACCCCCGTGCCACCTCTCACGTGTGGGCAGTGGGGCTGGACGGGACGTGCAGGAGACAAGGCCCAGGGGAAAAGCGGAGGCCCCTTGGGTTTATTCAGGTGGCTTTCAGATCCCGCCCCGTGCGTGGCGGGGCCCACGGGGTACAGGGCAGCACACACAGAGCCCCCGCCGTGCGCCCCATTGGTTGGCGGTGACATCACCCCTGTGTCAACACCGAGGAGTCGACAGCTTCCCGCCAGGCTTTATGGAGCGGGACCTGACCCGCCCGGGCCTCCACCCCACGCCCCACACACGGCCACACACTGGCCCACTGTTCTGGGGTCTGGGGGCCAAGGCCCCCAGGGCATCCCGGCGCTGCCTACTCCTGCACCCACTCCACGGG